CATCTGTCTATTTAACTTATCATTCATGTCTCCATTTATCCACTTGCTGGAAATAACTCTGCGTCATGGACTAGACGGAACATTTCAGCAGACGTCAAAAGTACTTCTCTCGGTTACCTGCAATGCCCTGTAGACTCGGCGGGCCAGCAACAAAGGCCGTTGAAGGCGTTCGGAACCGTAGATATACGTGCCCTGATATGCCAGCCAACACGAGACTCGAGGATCATGGCATCGGAGTCCTGCCGCGGCGATCCTCGGGACAACCACTCTCACAGAAGACTCAGAGACTAGTGAGGTCGTCGCAATCCGGCGACTTCCCTGGTGACGCGTGCTGCGCTTGATGCTAAGCTTCTTTCACAGACTCTGCGCTTCATCGTCTGTCTATGACTACGCACCGTGTGAGAAGGACGTCATTGCAAAAGACTCGGTTCCACGGTTTCCTCCTCTTGCAAGTCAGGTGACGCCAAGCACTTTTGCAACCGGCTGCGCCATCGTAAAGCTGCTCGCCAAGCGCCTGGCTCAGTTTCCCAGGGCCGGTCCCGTCTTCGACTGCACAATTGACAACTATCATAAATACCATTGATTACCATTGCAATCGTCCTTCCCATCATGATGATAAGCTGCATTCTTGATAACGCAGCTCTCACCGGCACAGGGGATCAAAGAGTCCAGCGATTGAGCCTTCTCTGGCCAAGCGCCCAAGCGATTTGAGCCTAAAGATCCCAAAGACTGAGGTCTAATCTTGATTCGGCCTCCTGTGTCGGGTCCACGAGAGGGTGGCCCTCCGGAGCGTTGAGATGCTCGGGGCCGCCTCAGAGGCAGCTGTAAGCCAAAATCCAGTTCTGGTGTTCTGATATTAATAAGCGTCTCGAGGGCACAGCTTCGGGGACACCCTACACTGCAAGATCTTTTCCTGCATGAGCAAGCTCCCGGCAAGGCCACCTGAGACCCGGTCTCAGCCTTGAATGATGCAGAAGAGCCGCCCACAGCAATCCGCCTTCGACCACCTGGTCAAGAGACTGCGGTCTCACGGAGTGCTCAGGCTGTTCGACCCCAGGGTCGATTTCATTCGATTTCAAGCCTGAGGTGCAGAATTTCTCGTGCGATGGCCGGGAACGACACGCCCCGTCAACTTCCTGAAGCAGGACCGTGAAGATACCCCAAGTACCAAAATCTACTGGTACCTGCGCTACTTCTGAAAAAGCCCGAAATGACACACGGTTAGTGGTTTCGCTCTCTCACCCCAATCCCGGAATGGAATCAAACCTTACCATAACACTCAATGATCTCATGAACCCCAAACAGAAAACTCTTTCCGTAGACTCTTATCCCATCTTATCCCCACATCACGAAGCCAAAAAAAACAACTCCTCTTCATCAAAGCCCCAACAGCATTCCTTGTCCAAGGAAGCCTAAGAAGCTGATACCCGCGTTCTTTCTCTCGGCGCCTCCCTCCCGATGCTCTCCACGGTCGCTGGCGATGCCAAAGGCGCCGTCGAAGGCTCTCCGCTGCCGCTGCTCTGCCTTTCGATGAACTTTGGATCTGCTTTGGGGTGCAAGATTCTTTTTTCGGGTGCCGGGGAGGTAAGGCTATTTATGGCCTGGGGTTGAAAGGGCTTCGAGGCCTTTAGGGCTTCCAGGCTTTGCAGGCCTTACAGGTTATAGGATGGTGATAGACATCTTCGCGAAAAGGTTAGTCTAATCATCTAATTTCTTAGAGACCCATCAAGAAGGACATGGGCAAGAAAGGCCGGGACCTGTGCGCGACGCTGTTCCCAGCTGCGCTGCTCCTCCAGCCTCGGCCTGGCAGTGCATCGCCTTCACCTCTATCATGCGTTTGTGTGCACGTATGTCTGTACACAAAGCTTTCTTGCTATCTTCTCATCTTACTGCTTAGGTGGCTTGCTATCAGCACTTTTTGATGCATGGCTGGTTTGACCTGCCTTTGCCTTCTGTCAAAGCAATTTGGTGGGCTTCCATGTTCCGTTAACACATCTCTTCTCACCACGGTACTTGAACTGCTCGTGCTTGTGGATGAGCTCCAAGTATCCCAGCTTGAGCGGAGGCTCGTAGACCTGTCGCTTAACATCGTAAGAATTCGCAACAGGCCCTGGAGTCTCGGTCACCCCAAGCAACGGAAAAAAAAGGACACGGACCTGAAACAAGTTGCTTTTAAAGATCACGGTTGAGGGCTCTACGAAGGCTTCGTACATGTTGGACTGTCTACTAGTTTGTTGGTGTGTGGATGCTAACAGGAGTCGAAGCGTCCTCAGAAGCTGCTTTCAGAAACAGCCTCGAACAGCTGGGAACCGTTCCGAAACGTCAGATCTATTTATTAATGTGCTCTGCCACGTTTCCTGGAGGTTCACAGGCTTGACATGCCACTGTCTCGCCGGATTTACGGGATTTAGAACTACTAATCATATTCCACGAAAGTCCCTGTATAATGATACTCTAAGTCTAACCACTCCGAACAATATTCCAATCATCCTAGGCCCCAGGAATCCTAGAAAAAACTCAGCCCGACGCCTGTGGGGCAACTTCCTTGGTGCTCTCGTGATAGCGCCAGATCACAGGGCGAGAGATGCCCCCGGCTGCGCCTCTCCGAGTACCCAGAGAGCCCAATACCCCTTAAGTAAGGAATATACCCCTTAAATTATGGGGGACTTAATATTGTGATTCAAAGTATATTCTAGTATCCTTAATATTAAATTATGATTCAAGGTATATTCTAGTATATTCCTTAATTAAGGGGCATTGGGCTCTCTGGGTAGTTAAGAATGCCTTCAGACCTTCGAGCTGAGGGCTTCGTCACTTAGTCGGTTTGGTCTGGTGTTGGTGGCTCTTGACAAGTTGGGGTTTAGGGCTTTAGGGTTTTACGGCTTTGGGGCTTTAGGCTTTAGGGTTTAGGGTTAACAAGCCAGGCTCGAAGAGGCTTCGACTTTTAATCCGATAGCGGCAGGCGATTGAAAAAACACTATGCGGATCGGAGCCATGCCACCGAGCAAAGCCTCCATAAAACTCTGCAGCCACCACCCGCATAAAAAAAGCAGCCAGCACAGCAGCGCTTCCCGGCTTCGAGGCTCTCAGTGACGACTGTCATGTCACTCATGGCCTTCATTGTCAGTTAGATCTATGTTCTATCACCTGGCCACTGGTGTCATGGACTGACGTAGAAATGTTTACAAGTTAGAAAGACTGGACCCACGACAAGAAACCCCAAATCCGCGGCCTTCCAGCTTCGGCCGCGAGGCGCGGCGCGGGAATCCCGGGCCGATGTCGGTGCCCTTTCGCTCTAGATGTTTCGTCTGGGGCTTGCGACTGAAGGCTTCGGGGGTTATCGAGTTTCTTGTTGTGGTTTTGGGCGCGAGGTTGGGGGGGCAAGTTCTGCAGCAAGCTTTGCCATGCTGCTAGATGGCTTGCGATCATGATGAGCACTGGTGGTCTGGCAGCAAGACACTCATGACTCAATCCTAAGCCGGCTTCGATCAATGGCAGCTGGAGGGTCATGACCTCACGCTGCCCGATCCCTACCAGTACAGTAAACCGCAACCCTGAATCGAGAATATCGAGAAACCCCAACCCGCAGCACCAGCCCTGGACGTTGAGCTCAAAACCCCCAGCCTGCCTGCATGATGCCACCCACCATGGTGGTGTCCAGAGCCTCCGGGCCCCTGCAGGTGCTCACATCTCGCGGACTCTGGTCGCTTCCCAGAACTTCAGATTCCGGATTCAACACTTCAATAATCCATAGCCTCCGAAAGCAGAAGCCCACGAAGGCCCGTGACCCGGAGAACCCAAAAAGACGCTCTGATGCTAGGGTACCTTATATTGAGGTCCTTATAATAAGGACCCTACTATTTAGGGTACCTTATATTGAGGTCCTTATAATAAGGATCCCTACTCTTTTAGGGTACTACATATATATATATATATATTTATTTATTTATTTATATGTATATATATATATATATGTGGGTCCCCCTATTTTCGGAAACCCGCAACGGGCCTCGGGAGCGAGAAATGCCCCGCTGCGCCCTCGAAGCGCTTGAGCCGCTCGGGACGGCGATTTAAGAGCGCCTCGAAGACGCTGGGAGCCGTTAAGGAGCTGAAAAAAACGGGGGGGGGGATTCGATTCGAGTCATGTCTCTGAGTTCCTCCCTCCTTTACAAGAGGGCGTCGTGTGATGACTCTTCTGCTGTCCAGATTGATGAAATCCGGCAGGATTCTCGGCTAACGAGGTATACCAAACGAACGCAAAGCACATTTCGCGGCAAAGGCCTGCCAGAGAGGGAGGCGGTGCTTCATCTGCTGGTGCAAGATTTGCAACATATTCTGTTTAGGTCTGCGTTTGCTCATCTACACAGTCGTCGTGGCTGCCGTCATTGTCATCGTTCTGAGATCTCTTGTCCTTACGTTCGGCATCTTCCGCCTCGGTCTCGATCGCCCTGGCTCCGGACTTCGCTCCAGCTGCTTCTTGGAAGAGCTTGGCGTACCTCGGCGCAGTCAGGCCGTCGTGCTTTTGCAGCGGTCGTAACGCTGCGCAGTACCCTGGCATCTCACCCACATGTCGCATGTCGACTTCTGCACAGTAACCTCTCGTTTTCCTTGCGACGAGGCACTCAGGATTTCCGGCAGGATCGGAGCTTGTGCCCCAGACGCGCTTCCCATGGTGGCCCTCCCACATGGAAGGCTAAGGATGACAAGACTTCACCCACCTGGGGCTCTCGCTGTTAGGCTAAACGTTTCGGGAATCTGGACTCTGTTCATGTTCACTGCTCATGCTGCGCTCATGGAGCGCTCTGTGTGTCAACAGATGGTCTGAATGAGATTTCCTGGCCAGGCGCCTCCTAGAGCGGATTTGATCCGAAAGGCTGAGGTGGCGGTGCAGTGCTTCATTGTCAGTCGGAAGAGCGCATGGATTCCTGGAAGAGACCAGCATGTTACACAGCATGTTTGTTTAGAAGGAAGCTGGCTGGAACACACTCCAGGCCCGAAGCATCGTGGAGGGCAATGTCGCTCTGAAGAAACCTGCTGCCCCACTCGGGTCCATTCGGTCAGCACCGGCGCGCTGAGAGAATCAGCCCATGTTCGCAGAGCTGCAGAGTTCTACCAGTAACTTCTACGAAACTGCCCCCAAGTCCAAGTCGCCGTGTCACGCCGTGCATGGTGTCCGCATGCACCGGCTGCGCGACGGCACCTTTGCAGGTCCAGGTGTCTGCGGAACTTTCACGATGAGTCCCAAGCTCTTCGGTCCGATGGGTGGGAGACACAGGTCAAGCACGAATCTTGGGGAAAGCGAGCGTGAACTCCAACCTCGGCCTTTGGCATTTGGGCTGGGTCTGGAGTCGACCTACCTTACATACAAACTCCCTGTCCAGCGATGTTGAAGCCGGAAGACCCGGCGATATCAACAGTTTTGATACCTACCAACTTTCATGTGTTTGTGCTGCCATGAACGCAAAGCACCTTGTTGGGATCAGTGTCGTACGAGGCAAGGCTTCAGAGTGCTTTGTTGATTCAGATGCCCTGGCCACCGATGTGTTCACGCCCCGTTTGTCTGACCTAGACCGGATAGTTGCGGGCCTACCTCAAGGAAGCAGGTCGGCTGAACCTGTGTAAATTGCATGTCCACAAGGTCATTCCAATCAAGCCAAACCGCTGATCTGCTGTCCATCTGTGTTAGTGCGGCCGAATCCGATGCCTTAGAAAACCCTCCCTCGCTGAAGCATAGACCGCGTGCATCTTCTGCTTCGGTACATGTGGGGTTCCCTAGCTCTAGAGGCCCTAGAGCTCCTTCTGCTTCGAACTCCCGTCGTCGCACATTGATCGCTGTTTGTGGGCCTCATGTCGCATTTAATGCGGACTGTCTTTCACTTTGTTGCGCTGCATAAGACAGGGTTCTGCCCCATTATTAACGACTGCGGTAAACTGCGCCTTCCAAGACCCCCAATGATCGTGACGGCAGCAAATTCTACGCTTACGGGCCTTTGCTGCTGCTGATGGCAGCCAGCTCCACCTGCAGCTGATGGGAACAATGACCATGGTTATCATCACGACAGCACAGATAGTTTCTGCACAATACGAGTCATCATCATCATCATCATGAATCTTCATTATGTGCAACCGACTATTGCTGATAAAGGTATTCAATCCGTTCTGCACGGCAGGTGCCGCTCCTGCAGCACGATAATCAACCGCCTCGGAGTGGCCGAGATAGGAGCAAAGCAAGGGACTGCGAGCTTCGCTCGTCCTCGGATCCTCCAGAAAAGACATCAGAGAACATGTGTCCCCTACACTTCCGAAACACAAAAGCCTGAACCTCTGGGACTTTGGGCGCCGGGCGATCTTGGCATCGCCTCCACAAATGCCTGAGCACGTGTGTGCAGATTGCATGTCATGACCTGCTGAGATGTGGAAGCTTTTGTGAAGAGCAGGGGCTCTGGCATCCTGAGCGCAGCCTCGAGGCTTGCTACCCTGATCCTCTCTTTTAAGCGATGCGCGAAGAATCGAAGAGGTGAAACGAAGCGGCGGGCGTGGAAAGGCTGACTCCAGGCATCAACCCAGCTGATTAAAACCACGGCACGCTTGGGCGAAACACCCTTAAATGGCGCCCTTAAGCCTTAAGCTTCCAGCCATTCGTAGCGCTCCTCTTTCCAGGCCCTTTCTCCGGCACCATCTCCATGGTCCCGGTTGTAGCCCATGCATGCCAGGTAGATCTTGCAAGTCTGCTGAACCTCAGGCATCATATACATGCGTTGCAGCCACTCCATGATGTGTGGGTACTCCCCGGAGTTGAGTCGCCGGATATTGCACTTGAAGGCCGTGAAGTAGCAGGTGTCGAAGCGAATCAGGTGTGGAAAAGCACGGACGTCCGCGAGCGAGAGGCCGTCTCCAGAGTCTGCTACGAGGCCGTACTTCTCGCGGCCCTCTGCTGCGGCCTTCGCCTAGTCACAACGTAGGGTCACAGAGATGATAACGAGCACAAACAGCAACAATGTAAACAAAAACTGTAAAGTTGCCATAGTAGCGGTATATTTACGTCTCAAGACTGTGCCGAACTATCTAACATTCCACTACACTCCATTATGGTAGCATCGGTTATAAGATGTATATGTATTATACGTACGTACATACATACGTACATACATACATACATACAGACAGACAGACAGACAGACAGACATACATCTGTACACATCTACATATACATGCAGATGTATGTGTTTAATTTATTAATGTGTATATACATATATGTATATATGTATGTATATATGTATGTATATATGTATGTATGTATGTATGTATGTATGCATGCATGCATGTATGTATGTATGTATGTATGTATATATGTACATATCGACTCCATCGACTCCATCGCTCCAAATGAAATATATATACACATTATTTCATGTTCTGTTCTGTTGGAATGGTCCGAGCCTTGGATTTCTCAAGGATAGCCTCCACCTCAGACAGGCCGATCTTCTAAGGGCTGCTTCGGGTTCTGTGACTTATGAAGGACTTAGGGGTACCTTATTTTGGGGGGGGGTCCTTATAATACGGATCCTACTATGTAGGATACTATAGTAATCGGATTTTGGTTTTTTGACACCTCTTAGGATTTTGTGGGGACTTCCAATTGGGTAGGGTTGTGTTGGGCTTTCGTCACTGCTCTATAGGGCTTTCCCAGAATTTCATGAACTCGCAGATGTGTCTTTGAAGTTTCGCTTTATGGCTCTAACTATGATGTTTTGCAAGACTTATGCCTCGTAACGGTGTTCTACGGTTCCGGACCTTACAAGCCCGGAAAAATAGCCATGAAACGGAAGCCCACAACTTTCAACGACACACATGGGAATATTGCTCGGTGGTGATAGATAGTCTAAACTGGAGCAGCTGATGGAAAGAGAGAATAGGCAGCATGGAGCCTCAAGAGTAGAAGACAACGAACCGTCAACAATAATCGAAACGTTAGGGGCCTGAGTTGATCCGAATTCAGAATCCCGAGGCCGCGGCCTCTGCCAGCGCTTTGAAAACATTTTGGCGCATCTGCTCCTTGAGGTCCGGCTCCTTGCATGCAAAGACAATCCACAAGCGGTCCGCCGTTGTGAATATGCGTGTGCCGGCACTCCTTTGCGAACGCCACGCGGTAGACCCCATCATTGATGTTGGGATAGATCAGCGTGTTGAGTTCCTCGAACAGGTCGCTTTTGTGTTCGCAGTTTCAGGGACAGCACAAGACTGTCAAGGCTTCTGTCGGATGCTTGTTCACGAGATTTGTGCCGTCCCGCACTTGCAACGTTGTCGCAGAGCACTGAAAGGCTGGCCCCCGACTTACAAATGTCAACAACACCCGGCAAAAGCCCTAAAACGAGTGAACCCCGAAGGCTCTTGAAACCCGAGTTGCATCGATTTGGGGCCGCAGCGGCTCAGGGTAGAGGTCAAGCTTCTTGCCCTCCTGACCAAACCCACTATACAGCAATACACAGATATGTGCGCATGATATGTAGATGTATATGTGTATTCAACTCAGTACATTTTACATTATGCTGTAGAGCACATTACACTACGTTACACTACACTACATTGCACCCACTGCACTGCACCGCACGAGACTAGACGAGACCAGACTAGGTTGGACCCACTAGACTAGACTGCATTACGCTGCATCATGACACATTACAGTACAGCCACAGAACTTTACCTTGCACTGCACGACATGGTACAGCAGCAGTACACAGCATTACACTCACACTACCTTACATACTGCGCATGCAACAATCAAATCGGTGGAATGGCCCGAGTCAGGCTCACGTTGGCTTTGGGAATTGGGACTGGGAAGCCTCTGCTTGGCGCTGCGTCCGTCCTCATCGAGCAGATCGTTCAAGCAGGAGTTCAGGATGTAGCCTATCTGGATGTTGTCGTTGCTCACGATTTTTCTGGTCTTCTTGTCGAAGAGTATGGGCACACTCAGCTGTCTGCGGCCATAGTCAGGCGAGTCGGTTAGGTAGATGTCACGCGTGTGTTTGGCATTGAGAACAGGATCCGGATTCTCAGCATCGAAAGCCCAGCCAGAATAGTCATCCGATCCCAACCCACCTCCCCAGAAGTAGTTTGCTGTGGAAGAGATGGAGACCACGCTCTGTGGGATGTTCTTGAGCGCATGGATAATCAACGCACGGTGGCACCAGCCGCAGGTGTAGTTGATGTAGAGGTGGTACCGATCTGGCTCCGGCGGGAAGGCCGTGCCGGGAGTTATCCAGTTCTGGAAGTTCGAGGCCCCGCGCTTGAAGGCCCCGGCCTGTGTCGGGGCCAGTGACGGGTCACCGGCTCCCCCTGCGAAGGCCTTGGCTTCGGCCATTGCTTTGGCCCGGGAGGCTCCGAGGCGTCCTTGGAGTTGAAGTGCAAGTACTGAGCTGAGTCCCTGCGATTCGCGATGCTTGGGTCAGTCGCTGTTCTGTTCATTGCAACCAAACTTTTCTCGAGATGGCCACGATCCAATCTGCACTCATTGCAACCTGCTCAAAAGCATGATCAAGTTGCACATCATTCGACTTTGCGCCGGCGGCATCGGGTATGTTTATGTAACAATACATACTGTAGCTACCCTTCTTGCGACCACCCCTTAAAGCTCTTCATAGCCGAAGCCCGGCTGCATTTCTCGGCCAGGGTACTCGTGAGCAGAGGGCCACATCGAGCTGCAAAGCGGTTCAGTGCCTTCGGGAATATCGGCACTTGCAGTTGACGCAGCTTAGAGCCCTCTATCCGAAGTCGAGCATGTAATCTACTTTGTGTCACGGCCCGCGTTACAGTTTCTAGGCTCGCTACTCTGACTCTTGGGGGTTGTCGGTTTAAGACACAGGCGGATCATGGAGTTGATAAGCTTCCGCATGCCTCGACCACGGGCTCGCAGAGGTCAAGCTTCAGATCGCTCCGGTGATCCGCCTGCCGACAGATAGATCCGTGAGAAGAACACTCAGATGAGTATCTAGTTACAACGATAGCCACGACAATGACAACCAAGAGTGGTAGCAGTCACGGTAGAAGAAGACTATACTGCTGCTTGTAGTTGTACTTGTACTTGCCGTTCTACAAGTGGTTGTCGCTGTCGTAGTTGTCGTAGTTGTTGTCCTTGAGGCCTTGTCATCCTTATCATCGTTGCCGTCGTTGTCCTCGTCGTCGTACTGCCGTCGTGTCGCAGTGTCGCAGTGTAGTAGTGTAGTAGTGTAGCATTTTTGTAGTGCAACGGGGTAGTAGTCAGCGCAGGAGTGTAGGATGTGGTAGTGGCGGGTAGTGGGTAGTGCTTAGTGGTTGCGATAATGGTAGCAGTAGCAGTAGCAGTTGTAGCAGTTGTTGTAGTTCTGGTAGTCGTCGTCGTCGTAGTAGTTGTTGTTGTTGTCGTGGTAGTAGTAGGGCAGCAGCAGCAGCAGGAGCCGCCGCGACGGCAAACCTAAGACAAAGGGCCGTGAGCCTCCTGGATGTTCCCGAAGAGATCCAAGCGGTTCTGTCGATGTGCCTGCAAAATGCCGCCAAGTAGATAAAACGTGCCCCACCCTGCGTTTGTGCGTAAGTTTCAAGAACATCTCCGAGGAGCTGAAAGGGAGAGTAACCAAGTAATGTTGAAAAAACGCACCGGGCCATTTCCAAAGCCAACGAGGCCTCGTCTGTGCACAGCAGCACGTGCTGCCGGAGCGCCTGCACCGTGATCGATACCCTTTCCCCCCTTCAGATAATGTAGGAAGCTGATTAAGAAGCCCCGGCCCTATAACCCCCAAAATACTCGGAGTCCTATAGAGAGCCCTAAGAAAGACCCAAGGATTCTTACTCAGGCTCCTACATGAATCCATCCAGCCTTGAGAGCTGGAGGCCTCGGTTCCGAGAGCCCAGGCATCGAAAGCAGAAGTAGGGTTTAGGGCTTAGGGTTCAAAAGCCCGAAAACAAAAATTTCCAGGCGATGGACAACGAAAAAGATCACCAAGGAAGGCCTCACAAAGCGGTCCATCGAGAACTCCCTTGATCACAATGTAGCCTGCTGAGCGCTCAGACGTGGGGGTTCAGGAAAGAAGGCTTGGAATGGCTTTCGGGCATGCTTGAACACCAACGGCTTGCGGTTAGCAAAGCCGCAAGTGATGCACCTTCTTCTGGAGCACTGTGCCTTTCACTGCTGGTGGACGCAAGATGATGTCGATGAGGCTACTGCTATGCTCCTGCTGCTGCTGTGAGGACATCATGGTGTTGCTTCCAGCATTAGTCCTCAGCTCTGCAAGAAACACACCCCAAAGTCAACTGGAATTTGTTCTCTAAGGCTTTCCCGCAAGGCTCTGAAGGAAGGCACAGAGAAGACTCTGCTCTGCCGGCCTTGAGACCGAAGCTGCTCCAGTTCCACCTCGTCCGCCTCTGACGAAAAAAACGAAACATAAGAAGAAGAGCAAGAACAGACTTGTTGCGGGGGGTTAGAATCTGCAGAGTGGAGGAGAGGAGGTGACAGCTGAGCACAGCGAGAGAATCGCTTCTTCATTCCGTGAAGCATCAATGCTGGCAGCCTACTTCAGGACAGTCAGAACCTGAATGCACCAACCCGAAGGCGTGGGTCTGCGAAAAAACAGAGCAGCTCTCATCAAGGCAGCTACTCGGGGTCATGTTGCAAATTACGAAGACACCATGGCATGGATACCAGGAACACCACAGCAAGACGGAAGCATAACAACAAGAGCTTCAACAAGAGCAATATCCGATGTCGTCACTCCTAGACCATCATGAACATCATCTTCATCGTCATCATCATCATCGTCATCACCACCATCATCAACAACATCATCGTCATCGTCATCACCACCACCATCACCCTCACCCTCACCCTCACCCGCATCCCCATCCCCATCATCATCATCTTCTTCTTCTGCTTCTTCACTATCATCGGCAGTGCTCGGCTTCGTTGTACTTTGCTTCAAGGTGTTGCGTTGTTTGCAGTCCGGACTCTAAGGAGTCGCAGAGCTTTGCCTGGTGACTGAGATCTTCATGTGTTGGATTGGTTACCAATCCGCTCTTGTCCTGAAAAGTCACTTGGCCCACACCATTCTCAAAGGGTCCCAGGGCTCTAAAGTCAAAACTTCCAAAGGTCTTGGGGGTTGCTGGTGTTTATGGCTTTCAGGTGCCGTGTCGAAGGCCAATGATGGCCAAT